AGAGCTCGGCAGCGGCAGGAGCCGACACGGCCACGCTGCACCTTCGGGCCCAGCACAGATCTCGTACCCGCGCAGCTATATTGGCACGTAGAGCAGTTTTTACACAGAAGTTAATATACACCAGCACATCATCTACTGAGAGAAGGTATGTTGGCACAGAGCTGCCTCATTGTCTTCTCTAGGAGCTTCACGTCCACGTTAGCTCACCTCAGCAACACAACTGCATCCCAGCCGCTGCACCCTCGACGGCTATAGGCCTGGCATTTCATTAATGCTCAAATTTAGGTACTTTTTCAGTTATTACCACCAAAAGTCACTTTTTCTCCCCCAACACAAACCTCCACCACATGAACACTGGTTGGACGCTGTTATTTTTCTAGTTACTGAAACAGCAGAAGAGATCATCTTATCCACAGTTAAAGGCCGTGCTCCCTTCTTTTTCCTGGTTTCACGCCTCGGGAGTTAGCTAGTTAATACTCCACGCCTCTGAGAATGTGCGAGTCTGAAACAGCAAAATGAAAAAGACTATGGAAGAAACAGCAAGGTTTCCAATTTTCTGCTTTACGGGAAAAGCAGGAACATCCTTTCCAGTGTCTCAGCACCTGCAGGTATGCTCTGAAATTCAGCCTTAGTTTGCCATCCCATAAACATTGGTGGGAAATACAGAGCTAATTTGATGTGTCACCAGCGTCCTTTTATAAGCCCTGAGCACTGTGTTGAAACATGGACATAGCACCCAGAAGTAACAGCGTGGGAGAGCAGGTTACAGCTTGTTGGCTCTTTTCAGTGGCATCTTAAGTGAATGGCACCTTCTAAAGCAATCAAGTGAAGCCAAGCCAAAAAAAAAAAAAATGTACAAATAATTTTTCCCCCAAAACTTCCTTCTTTTAAGGAAGCTAGTATTTTAATGAAAATGTTCCCTGTTGCAAAGACAGAATTAAAGCTCCCGAAGAATGGTTTCTTCCTCCGCTTCTGTTTTCCATCCTTTCCTTTCTGCTTATTTATTTCTTTAGTGATGAAAGAGGAGAACAAGGGGAAACTGGCAAAACCAAACTTGGACTGAGAGATTCTGAAGTCTCAAGTTTTTTTTTTTTTCCCCAGAAGTCACAACAGAATGAAGAGTCCAATACTCTGTTGTGCTACCACGTATTTATTTTCACACTGGTTCATTTTGAGAAGAGCTCTGCTGAAAACAACAGAGCATGACCTCCATCTCTGTGCAAGGAGCTCCCTGCATGGAGCAGACTCCACACGTTACCCTGCCCTAGCACCCGCAGGCACCTTTTTTGAAACTTCTCTGCTTTGGAAACGCTGCTGTTGTTGCACACTTGGACTTCACCCGGAGCAGCCACTGATCCTACCGCTCCGGCTTGCTCTGCCGTATTCTCCCCCCAGCCAGAGGTTGCAAGGGTTTGAGCATGGAAGAAATCCTGTGCCCCGGATATCGCAGCAAGAAGGAGCTGGGAGCCCTCCTGCAGGCTCATTAATACTGACCTCTCAGGAAAGATGCACAGGACTGCCAAGGATACCTACTGCAGTTGAATCGGATGCCTCTAAAGGAAGAAAAGAGCCAAAGGCATTCATGTGGAAGAGCCAGATTCTTAACTACGCTGCAGAACCAGGTGTGCTAGCTCATGCCAACTCCCATTGCCAAAGGGGAATAGGAACAGAACAGAGACAGTGTTTTCTTTTAAATTTGGAAGTGAAAGGAAGAAAGTAAACTTGTGTGGAGCCTAGGGATGGGGTGAACATGACAAGAGAGGTTGGTGTAATCAGTTTTCTTTCCTCTGCAAGTTGCAAATGAGCAATTATGGCTGAGAATATTTGAAATAAAATTACTGGAACCTGTCATCAGTTGATCGACCTCTGTACAGATGTTTTGTTGAATGATTAGCATCTTGGCTATATCAAGCCCTTAAGGATCTAATGACATTTAGTGTAAATGAGAATTCATCAGGAAAGGGCCCTGGAAACATTTTGGCACATTCTGCCTTTATCCTTGCAAGTTCCAGTAGATGCAGTCTTAGAGGTGCTCCAGGTGCCCTTTGCCATCTCAGAGACACCTGCTTGTCAGGGATGAGCAGAACTCATCTCAACAGTGAAACACTAAATGCTTCCTGTATTGCTGTGATGTAGATGAGAACACACATTTCTGAGCTGCTACCGTCAGAAAGCAAGAATACCTGTGAAGCAGGCTTTAAAAGGAAGTAACAGTAATTGGTAATTCAAATGATAGATCTGTAGTCTCAAACAAGTGGTTAGGCAATGGCACAGGGATAAATCTCAATGAAACCTAAGCAAGTCTAAATCTTTCTCCTTTTCTCTATTGTTTTAGAATAGAAAAACTTTCTTACAAGCTTTAAGACTTAATTTTGCAACAAGTATTTCTCCATATTCACAGCAATAAGGTTCAGAACATGCCCATCTCCAGAGACAGGAGCAGTTGAAATGAACTGGCTGAACAACACACATGCTTGTGCCAGTGTTGAGCAAGACTGAACTGTGCTCCCACGGACGACTTGCAAACACTACAGGTCTCACCATAGTTATAGTCTGAGGAGACTGCAGGAGTACAGAGTGGGGAGGATGACTCCCCTATGATCAAACAAGGTTTTTTTGGCTTCACTTCAGTAAGGTTACAAGATTGTTTTCCTTTTATGCACGTTGGAGAGTAAGTGCTGCGTGGGGAAAGGGTGCAGGAAGGCTGGTTACACTGCAGCACAGAGTCGTCAAAGAAACCATGCAAAATAAAAGTGAAACTCCACTACTCTGTGGCTCATTTTTCTGTGATGGGAAATACTAAGAATGCATAGTCTAAAAGTTCCATTTAATCCTTACCCCTATGCAGGCAGTTGCTTTATAAAGATGTTTTTCACAATCATAAATAAACTTTGTATGCGAACAGGGGAAAACCCTCAAGCAATTATTCTCCACCTGCCTGTGGACTGAATTTACAGTGGGCAATTTCAGGAGACGTGGCCCTGAGCTTTCCTCGCCTGTGTTTGATGTCTCAAACCTGCAGACCAAGTAAATAATTTGATTCCGTTTATTGGACAAATTTAGAGGTCAAAGCTGACAAGCCTTCAAGACCACACAGGTTTCCTCCTTGGAAGCCAAACAGTGGAATGTGCCTTTCAGATACTGCAGGGAAGAGCCTTCATCCCCTGACACATTTCCATCAGCAGGGTTTGAGCTCTTGCAGCAGCAGTTTTATGTGTTGGCAGCTTTTTCCACCTAACGGGTACGTGTTGAAAGTTTAAGGGAACTGGTAGATGAAATGATCGGGTATTATGGAACAACTTTATGTTCCTGCCCAGCTCTCCGTGCCAGAGCCTGTCCTGCCATATCTGTCCTTGACAGTAGTAGTTGTAAACTTTGAAGATATTTGTTATTTCACAGTAGCAAATAAAACAAATAAAGAACTGATCTGTATCTAAAAGAACTACTGCCCTGGCTTCAAATTGTGCAGAAATGCAAAACTGTGAAGAGGTGGGCTTTTTGTTTCACACAGGCCTAAGAAAATAAAAGCAAGCAAAGAATAGTGATAATCTTCAATACGTATTTCTCATATGAAAAACACTGACTTTTTCTCTAAAACTATGCCAGCAGACACAGCTATAGGCTGGTACGTTCACCTCCATATTTAAAACGTGTGGCAGAAAAATCAGAACTAATTCTTAGCTGGGGATAGTCATGATGGACAGTGCTACTCAACACAATTCAACACGATCAAAGTTAAAGCAGCAAAACTCATGCCTTGCATCATAACCAAAGCAGTCTGAATTTAGAGTTTCTGGTTTACCCAACGAACAAATGGAAAAGCAGGATTCGTGCACAGTCCTTACATGGACAACAGTAGTAAGTTGTTGGCACTACAAAATCAAATAAAGAAGAGAAATTTAAATTTTTTTATTTAGTTAAACCCTGCTCCACTGGAAAGGCAAACTAATTGAAATATTTTGATTCATGCAGATTAGTAGACTTAAAAGATCCAGAAGGAATCTGCCTTCCAGAATATTTTTGCGAAAATGCAAAGCACGGGCACCCAAAGCCAGGCCTGCAGAGCTCTTCCACAGCCGCGGGTCGGGAGGCCGAAGGGCAGACCCTGCCCTGGGAGCGCCGTGCAGGCACCTTCCACCCTCACGGCCTGGGGAAAAGGAGGGCAAAGATAAAGGCTCAAAAAAAAAAAAAAAAAAAAGACTCAACTGATTCACATAATACACAATGCAACTTGAGGAGCCTCACTGTGAACTGGCTTCCTTCAGAGCTGGAAGTGAAACCATTGCATGGAAGCTTCTGATGGAGCATCCCTACACTTCACAAAGTTCTTCTACCCAAATTCTTTGCAAGCAGATACCCCACGGCAGGTTCCTGCTGCTGAATTACTAGTTTAGAGCAGCAGAGTACTAGTCAGAAGTAGCAGAGAGTTTATGGCTCCAATCTCACAAGACGTTGCATGCTCTGGAGTAGGCTCTCCAGTTCCTTAGTAGCTCTGGAGAAGCAAACCGAAATGTTTCTTACACAGAAAAGCAAACAGAAAAGTTAGGCAATGTGATCTGGCAGAAAATTAAAGTGTTCTCTTTCAGATTCGCATTGGCGCTTTTAAAAGCAAGCGGCCACCCCGGGACGCTCCCTTCGGGGGCGCAGAAGCAAAGCGGCCCGCGCACCTCCGCCCGCCGCGGTGCTGCCCGCGCAACTCCCGCCTTCGGGGGAGGAAGGGGGGCGGCTGGAGCCGGAGCCCCCCGGGCCGCGCCTCCCCACCGCGCAGGGAGCGCGGGTGGCCGCGGAGCGCGGGGAGGAGCCGCCGCCCGCTTGCCCTCTCCATTGGCTGCGCCCGCGGGGAAGCGCGGCCTCCTGAGCAGGCGCGCAAATAAAGACTGCACCTGCGGCCGGCACCTGGAAGGGGGCAGCGCTCCTCCGCTCTGCTCCGCGCCGCTCCGCTCGCCCCGGACCCCCTGCGCGCCCGCCCAGCCCCGCGCAACCCACCCTGCCCTGGCCTCTGCTCCACCTCCTCTGGGATTCTGCTCAAAGCGACAGAAGAGAAGAGAAGAACAGTCCTCGACTTCATTTACTTACCAGCTGTTTTATTTCAGTTTCCTGTCTCCTTAGTCTTTTTTTTTTTTTTTTCCTTTTTTTTTTTTTTTTGTTTTTGTTTAAAGTTAAGTAAAGCAGTTGCAAGGCGGGATTGGTACCTAGTTAACCAAGACAGGTGAGTGAACGGCACACCCACGTGTTATCTATTGTATAAAAGTGTTGTGAGCTGGGGGAGCATCATGGCTGGGAGTCCCTTGGTAGAGAGGTGGTTTCTTTGGAAGGCTGCTGCGGTGGAGAGAAGATGCAGGAGGCTGTAACGAGGGGCATTAATGCCGCTCCTACAGCAGAAGCGCTGCTCGCTCCCTACAAACATCGACGCAGCTGCCCTTTGCTGTTTGGAAACTTGAGGCCAGGAAACAGCTTTTAAAAGGAGAAAGGCAAACTTCCCAAGCATTTCCTACAAGTATTTTAAGTCATAAATAATAGCAAAATTAGTCAAAGCAGCAATTGGTGATACATGGAGAGATACTTCCTAAACTGGAAGGAATTGTGTGGTCATCACTGGCCTTTAAGAACAATGTAATTCAGTTAGATCCCATGGAGTGGCTCTGGATTTTCACTAGTGCCATGAATACCAGATGCGAGCTGCCATCCAAACCACCGTTTGTAAGAATTTCACTTGGTTTCGATCAGTTGATTCTTCTTTTGATTTTCTGTGCAAATCACAATCATTTCTTACCTATGCAGTGATATCATGAAAGTGAAATATTTAAGAAAGTAGTCGTATTTGTTATTTTTCCTTATAGAGTAAGTTTCAACTTGCTTTAGTTTGACAAGGTTGTTAAAGTTTTTGAAGCCCCCAAGCCCCACGTTGCTGTGGGGCATTACGGATGCTGAAGGCTAGGCGAGCTCCCTCCCGGAGGGGCAGAGCTGATCTCTGGGGTCAGAGGAGCCCGTGCACTCAGGCTGCTGCTTCCTCCCCGGTTCTGATGTCAGTGGTGATGCTGGCTGTTGGGTACCAGCAAAAGGGAAGAGTCCAGAGGCCACCTCCCTCACTTTCGAAAGAGAGAATCATGAGCTTTGTAAAGGACTTCAGCTACTGCTATAAAATCAGGTTCCTCTCCAAGAGCAATGCACAGTGGTAAAGCTAACCATGAATTTAACGTGTTACTATGTTGTAAATCTTGCTCAAACTCAAGAGAAATGCAGAGCTGCTTTCCCCTTAAAAACCATAGCAGCCAGTTTCAGGCAAAGGCACTAGAAAAGTGTGAAGGTAACACCAGCGTAAAGCAGAAAAATGGAAACTCCTGAATGAGCAGAACACACTAAGTAGGAACTTTTCCTAGAAAAGGCCCAGGCAGAGGTCATTTTCAGACCTAACACCTGGATCAGGTAGGAGCTGCAGAAGAGTGTTGCCTCTGGAAGTCACACGTAGTGTCAGATTTGAGCTTCAGAAAGCAGTTTTTAATTTATGCTTAATTTTAAATACAAGCTTATGTTACAGTGAAACAAATGATTATATACTTTTCTAACCAGGATTATGAGCTACCAGCACTTTTGAGAGCACGCAGGGCATTGCACCAAAAATTTCAAGGGCTTGTAATCACCAGGCCTAATGCAAAGTCCATTTAATGTAATAAATGCAACAATCTTTGGCTCAGAGCACCTGTCTTTATCTCTTAGTTCCCCTATAGACAAAGAAATACAGAAACATTTGCTCACTTTAAAGTTCAGAGTAGTCCAGTACAATTTTATCTGACCTTTAGCTAAAGGTTTGCCACTTCTGCGGATGCAGCAGATCTTTGCTGCTGCTCAGGTAGATGCAAGGGACCGCAGCCTGACTCTCAAGACTTCTACCCAGGGAGAAGCAAAAACCAAGTGGTATCTCATTAAAAGGTTGGCAAAAACCCTGTACTGATAAACTTTAATTTACTTTAAATTGGTTGTTCAAGTCCGAAGGGTAGTTAGCTGTTGGAGGTGAGTCCCCGGAGCTTGTATTTCAAGTTTTTATTACCATTGTTTTAATGTAAGATTTTGTTGATAAGCACCTATTACTTAATCTGAGTTGTTCCTCAAGGAAGATGAAGCCAAAGCCAGCCTTGCAGCTGTTTGGTTTTTCTCCTGGGCATACTGGCTTTGGGAATTCTAGGCACGAAGGGGTTAATAGCTGGAAGCTGTGCATTAGGCATTTATGGTGCTAAAGCCCGTTGTAACTTGCCTGATAAAAGGCATTTCAAATAAGCCAGGATTGCATGGAGGAATTTTAGTTGATGGGTTCCTGCCTAGGCCACCTTTTCTCAGGACTTACCCAAATGCTTTTAACATGTCTTGACAAAACCAAGGGAGAGGCTTCAATGCAGCAACAGGCAGCAGGCTTATATTTAAAAGCAGAAGAGAGAGATACACACCCTAAGCTATTTGTTCTGTTAAATCCTTTATCAGCACCTCCATAGTGGGGCCTTTGGAGGGCTGGCTTTTTTTTTTTTTTTTTTTTTTTTAAGTACAGGCAAGCATTTCAGTTCATCTTCAAGTCAAGTTTTTGCATCCCAACCTATCTTTCCCAAGCTGCAAAGTACAAGCAAATTAAAAGTTGAAAACTTAGATAACTGCATGGGAGAGTTGCCAAAACACAGTGCTACTCGGAACTGAACCCTTCATTTCACTGGGCACTCGGAAAGTCCCAGTTTTCCCAGGTACCAAGGAGCCAGGAACTGTGACCTGGGTCCCTTAGTTTGCCTTCGTGTCTGTGAAGCAAAGCCACCCAAATTGGAAACAGTATTTGCCATTCCTTGCTGGGATATAGCGAACTTCCATTTCACTCATGGGATTTGTGTATGTCAGGGTAGATTTTAATGTTTTCATTTTTTTAGATGTCAAGCAAGATGCAATGCTAAGTATATGCATTATATTCAGACTTTAGTATTAATTTTACAGGTAAAAACAGGAGCTATCTAAAAGAGTAAAAGATTTCAATCTATAATCAGTTTCCTTTGCAAGAATCTCAAACATCTTCACTGTATAGACATAATGATGGGTTGGGTTTTTTGGGGGAATCTTTCTAACAGTCTTAATTTCCTTCATTTTTGTCTCTTTCACAGATTGGAAGTTCTTTGGAAGAGGCTACACATCTTTTAGAGGGTTTGGACAGCACTTCGCTTAACTATTTTAGTCTTCATAGCACTGTAGGGCAGGGCAATCCCATAATATACGTGATCCATTTCACTGATGCACTAAGGCCGGTGCATGAGCAGTGGCAGCCTGGCAGTGCCATGCTGGGCCAAGCCATGCATTCCTCCCTCTGCTTCCTGCCCATGCTTTACAAGTGAGCAGACTCCACTTACCATACCGTGTGGGGCTGCGACTAGGTAAAGATGATTTCTCCCTTACCTAGGCTAAAAGGAAGTAGTAGCTTAACACATTATTGCCAAAGGTCTTTGAAAACCGTCATGTAGAAGAAAATTGCCTAATGGCTTTCTTTGCCTTTTGCAAATTCAGGGGTTTAAGGCCAGAAGGGACTAGGGTGATTATCTTGTTGGACCTCCCTTGTAAAAGCCATAAAAGCTCAAACCCTTAAGCATTTAATTTGGAGAAGCTCATGGTAGTTTAAGACCTTCAAAAGATGGAGAACTGCCCTGCCCTGTGGTAAGTTGTTCCCAGAGTTAACCTGCCTACTTTGTTACACACTAAAATTGCAGTGAATGAAGACAGGAATATGGGGCAGGGCTAAAAAAAAAAAAGAGCACGTTAAAGTTTCAGCCCATAGCACCCCCATAAGCACCGACTGTAGAGTTCCATGCCTCCTACGTACGATTCAGACATCGCAGGTGTACCAGCTGCGCTTCCCTAAAGGTAGGTTAACATGCGATAAACTCGCCTGCGTTTTCCAAGTGAAATAAGGATGATCCATGGGTTCTGTTGTCCTTCATTCCACCGGAGTCTGTCTCATACCTAACCAGATTTCAGTGGAGTGAAGCACAAGAGACATGGAGATGAATCAGCAACAAGAGGAACTGCTTCTCACTGAGAGAGGGGAAACTGGATGGAAATTTGGATACTCCAGGCATCCAAACAGATCGAGCATGCTGGGGAATGGAGAGGAGCAGTACACTGAGCATTTTAATAACCTGAGTATTTCTTGAAAGTCTCCAGTAAGAACCCATTTTGAGAATGTACTTACTTTCTGCATAATATGTAAAGATTAAAAGTCTACAAAGACCACAAACTGCTTTCTGGAAGGCTTAAATACCTTATTAGCAGGAAATGAAACCCTAATGTGGATAAATTAGATGTGTAACCTCATTTCTTTCAGTCATCCTCCCTCTAGGATGGTATATCCAGTAAAGAGACCAGAATGTAAGCCTTGTTTCAGTGCATATGCAGCACTGCCTTCCCTTGAGGATCTTTCTAAAGAATCACACCAGCAATGCCTGCTTTCTTCAAACTCTCCTGCCACAGTGCCTTCAGAATCTGGCAAAACTCCATTAAAATTTTAGACCCATTTATTTTGTACTAAAATGAATGTAAATAAGATTTAAGTTAAGGGAGAATTTAGATTTTTCAGGCTGAGCACAAGATAGATCTAAGGTGTCAGTGTAAATTTCTTGAAGGTTAATGCAGTTAAACATATTTGATGCATAAAAGCGTCACATCTAACACTAATCACTCACCCATTGTAATTGCCTTTTCAAAGTCCTCACCTCCCCAAGACAAATGCCCAAAAAAATGAGGTCTGGCAAATTTAAAACAAAAAACAAATAATGTCCTCCTACCATCAGGACCTATTATTTGCTTTGATAGATTTAGTACTAGATTTCAAGAATTTATTGTCCTGTATTATTTCTCAGCTGCCTGCCTAATCCTTCTTTCCCCCTCCCCCTTCTATTTGACTGACTTTAAAACCATGCAAAAACTACCTGCTGATGTCTTTTTTTACAAACACAGACCATCAAAGGGTTTGCTCCCTGGAAAGCCACGAGCCAGCTTCCAGATACAGTGGTGCTGAGCTCCTCCAGTCAGCAGCGGAAGTTCTCGAAGCTTCTGACATTTATTTCCAGGTTCATTCTTAAGCCGAACATTCACCCTGTGTTGGATACCTTACAAAAACTGACTTCCCTGCTTAGTGTTAGTTACACACTACTTCAGATCAAGTCATTACAATAACAGGACCACAACTTTTTTTCAAACCAGAATCTAGCCAACCCTATACCGTTTTTGTTTCCTATACTTTCTTATCCATCTAATGCTCCATCTCAGTAGGTATCCTGAAGTATATAACAACCAAAAGGAGCTCTTAATATCTTTTTTCTGAAGTATTTTTCTTCAGGGCATCCCAGAAGAACTGAGACCTTAACAAGCCATCCCTTCGGGTCTTGATACTGATTAATGGTAGCAGGCAGCAAGAACACTAACAAACTGAGGCGTTATTCCCCGTTTTATTTTTAGTGAGACAGAGTAAAAGTGCAAGAGGGTAAGTATCACGTCAAGCATAAGCAGACAAAAAAACGCACAAGTTTGCTTATTTACCAGTTAAGGGTAATAAAATAAGGGTACCTACCTTCCAACTGCCTGGGCAGCAGCAGGTCCAGAGGGCAGGACCCTGTGCTGGGAAACTGGTTCTGCTGAAGATCCGTTGGAGCAGGATACAGCCCAGGCCGCCTTCTCGCCCTCCTCTCCACAGCTGGCATCAGCTTCCCGGGGCGTAAGAGGCCCCCAGTTGTAGGGCACCGAGAGCACTGCGGGTGAAGACAGAAATACAGTTTGGTGTTAGTGATACGCTAAGGAGTATTTACAGCGCTACCGTTAATATATTATTTAGCTATTTGTTCTTTCCCCATATGAAGGGGATTTTGGCTAGCAGCTTTCCATACATTAAAGCAAGGAATATAATGAGACAGCAGACAAACTGCCACAGACATGCACTGCTACGGACAAGTCTTTGTCAACACACTGTGCAGTTAACTCCTTTAAGACATGACAGGTGCTATGTAAATGCAAGCTCATTATCAAAGAAACCATGGCTTGCTGCTCACAGTGATGTAGCACCAGAGACATGAAAAATCCTCCAGTTACATGTTGGAGTAATGTGTGCTAAAGACAAACTATTTCCAGATGTTAGAAAAGCAACTGATACAGATGTGGCAATTCAGACAAGAAAAAAAAAAACAACACAACTTTCAGGCAAAAGGAATGAGATCAAAGCAAAATAGTCAAAAAAAGCACCAGCCACTAGTCTTGGCTCATGCATTTGGAGGTGGCTTCTTGGTGTTGCTAGCACCGGTGCTTGGGGCATTAGGTTAAACCAGCACTTATCAAAGGGGCTTTATTAACACCAGGTACATCCATAGAGAGATACAGCCCTTTCCTAGCTGCAACCCCCCCACACACTTTCTTATTTTCAGGCTCACTCAGTGACACAAGGTTTAACCACATGCATAGAACTTAAAACCTGGTGCCCTTTCCTGCTGCTATTTGTGAGCACCGAGTCCCAAACAGCCTCTGTCGCTGCAGCTTGGTGAGGGGGAACTGGAGAACGCTGATGAAATGGGTTGATTTGGGGCATATTTATTTGAATTGTTGGTTACCAACAGCCTCACAGAGTACAGAATATAAAGTGAGACAAACATGGGAGCTGATCCTATCGAGACACACCTTTTTTCTGGAAAAGGGCACATTAGCAAGAACAGGAGCCATGCCAACTGCTTTGACCTGAAAGACAGCATTTCTTACCACCACATTAAAGCCACACAAGCCACGAACAAGCACTCTGACACCGGTGGCCTTCACTATGCTCTTTGCAACCAGAGCTGCTCCACTCCCAGAAAGGGCTTTGGTACAAAAGCCATGGCACAACCCTCCGCATGTGCAAGTCATCTGCTGTATTGAAGTACATTAAAAAACCCTCAAGCACAGTATAGGTTATAACAGGTACGGTTGAGGAAAATTATTACAAATAACTGCACCAAACAGGGCAGTGCTTTCACTCAAGATTCATTTACTGGGCAGCACAAAAGCAGCAAATGCACAGCCGCTCCAACTTCCCTGTCAAAAACTAAAACTGGCATGAGGTGAAAGAGGTCTGAAATGGCACGAGACCAGGCTAGCTTACACAAATATAATATCTCTGCTTTTTGATTCTTTCCCCTAGGGAGGAAGATGAGAAGTACTACTACTGAGCCGAGCTGAATGCCCAGGGAGACAGACAGCTAGAAAGTCTAGAAGTTTTCAGTGTTTTTAATAGTTCCATTTCAGTGTTGTGCCTGAATTCCTTTCCTAAAGCCAGTAGTTATTCGGTTTTTACTCGGTAGAGAGCTAAGCCTCATATATCCCCTCAATACAAACCCTCTAGCCCTTTGAGTTGCTTCAAATAAATGCTCCCTTGTGTCTGGTGTTAACTTCCCAGAGCTCTGAAGCAGAGGGGAGGCTTGGATAAGAGGCCGTTTAGAAGCCCTATACAAATGTAGATTTGATTGACTGACTGATTGAACTTAATTGCAGACATTCTCTTAATTGTACACTTAATTACTGACACTGTGTCAAAAGATTTCTGATGCAGCACCTGGAGGACAACCTTGCAAGTGCCAGTCAAAGCCAGCTGCACAAGACATCAGGGAGGTGCTGCATACTGCTACAGCTTGGAAGGGGAAAAATCATAATATTTTAATAATATACAATTAGAGTTTCACCCACCCTCAAACATGCGCGTGCATACACACAGAATCACAAATCTCTTTGCAGGGAGGGCATCTAATACATGAGGAACAGAAAAGAAAAGAAACAAAGAGTGATAATTATGTGACCATGTGACGGTTCCACCCTTTTGTGGTCTCTCCTAATATCTACAGTATTGTGAGCTGCAAGGGGAGGGCAGTATGCCATCGTTTTTGGCAGGAGTGATACAGCTGCTGGCCACTCTCAATTTAGTAACTCCAGATTTTTTATGTTAAAATTGTAACCAGAAATAAAACCCATGATATTTGTTCAAAGGTTAAAACTCTGAATATTCTCCGCAGTGATTTTGAGTCACTGCAGGTCTTCCTGAAAATAGCTATGCATGAAGCAAAGATAACAGCATTCTAACTGTTTGTAATAAGAAGTGTCTGCAGGAATTTTGTGATTATGGCTCCTATAATTCTCAATAGGCAAATTAGTATTTTAGTGAACACAAAAAACTTAAACTCATGCTACAATAGGTTGTATGTACAGTGTGCATGATGCACAAATAAGCAGAAACTAATTTGGATGCGTGCATTTTTTTTCCCACAATATTTTTACCAATAAAGTCACATTTACAAAATCTTGTTGTTAACTAAATGCACTAGTCAATAAAAATGAGTGGCTACAGGGTATTAGAGATATTTCCACTACTGCTGCATTCAAATCACTGTGGGAATCACAATCATCAGTGCATTTATCCTCACTACATTCCCAAGCAGTAGCTCTATTATTCCTGCTGAGGATCCGAGCACAGAGGCTGACCGACCTGTAATTCTTATCTGGGTCTTTGAAAGGTTTCCTGGCCAGCGGTCAGCTCAGGTCACCTACAAGGTCTGTGGCAGAACCAGAGCCAGGTCCTGGGCTAGTGGCCAAAGGAGGAATAATTGAAGATAATATTACCCTTCCAGCAGTGCCCCCCAGGAAGTTTTTTAGGGTCATCCCACAGCCCCATGCTGCCTGGCTGCACTCCCCATGAACACTTCTGCTTGAGGTGTCATGAAGGAGGGGACTTCCTTCCCTGCAGCATAGCCCACCTGTTGGTGCATAAAGCAGCAGAGCTCCACAGGTCTGTTTTCCCAGGTAGGAGAGGAGGGCAGGAGCCTCGGCAAGGGAATCGCAGGTGCAGGGACAGGTACGTGCTGCACACGGGAGGCCAGAGCCAGCCCTCCCTGCAGCAGCAAGACCTCTGCGTTCGGGAGAGGAAAGACAGCAAGGCACTGAGATGTGAGGATCAAAGGGAAGCTGATGGCAAGCGCGATGAAAAGGGAAGGCTGTCTATTGCAAAACGCAGCACAGAGGCTGCCGTGGTATTTACAATCTGGTTTCCTGCCTCTGAATCCACTCTTCACACCCAGGCACATGCGGCAGCTGCTCACACATCTCGTTCAAGGCTGTGATAAAGAGGAACCAAAACTCCCCATGAATTAAGGACTGCCAACCTCAGAAAGATGTAGAGAGAAAATTAAACTTGTTGGAACACTGGTTACAAGTTACTGCCTCAATAGCTAATCTCCCCCTGAAGCACCTCTTGGTGTGGAAAAGTAATAGAAACTGGCACAATCTCTGCTTCTGTTGGGTCGGAGCAAGTCTGAAAACAGCCTGGATGTGCAGGCCGGCTTAGAAAAGGGAACATCTTCCAGAAAATAGTAGCTATGGATTTTAAGCATATCTAAAATCAGGGCTATGTCGTATGTAGTACATCACAGAGACCCTGTAAGCACAACCAGCTCAGGTGCTGATGTATAGCTACATTCCTAAAAAAAACACAAAAAAAAAAAAAAATCAGAGCACACCAAAACTGTACAGACAACTAGCAGAGATTGGAATTGTTTTACACCCACATAAATTCAATTGGCTCAAAACACCTGGAGTCTCATTAATTTACCTGTGACATGTTGCTACACTTAATTGCCTTTGACAATTAGTAACATTTCAACACCTCCTTTAATGGCCCAATTATGAGTACACTTCTGCACAGCAAATAGAAGAAAATAGATGGGTGAACCTCCAATGCAAAACTCCTCTCCAGGTATTTTAATGAAGAGCTTAAAAAACAAACCCCAAAGAGGCCATCCTGATTTTGTTTGGCTCACACTGCAGCTAGACAAGCTGTGTTTGCTCTGCTCCCTGGTTGTGCCCCTCCTGGTGCAGGGCTGTGACTGCCACCTCTGAGAACCGCGCTGGGAAATTAATTACAGGGAAAAGTGCATTTGCCTCCTTCCATTTCTTGCACTTGATGTTTTATCGATTACTTCTGTACGCTAAACAAAGTGCATCCTTTGTAAAACAAATCCTGTTTCCAAACTAGGAGAGGCATGATGAGCACAGGAACGCAGAATCACCTCTTCCAACTACACGAGTAAATACAATTGCAAGTGCTGGCTGAGTCTGGTGGCCATTCTCTCTCAGAAATAAGCTGGTAACTTCATATGCTACTTCAGGCTGGGCACAAACACTGGATTTGACAACTAACATTGAGTGGAAGAGTCCAGGGGAGCCTTGCTGCTGCTAGTAAATTTGAAAAATCCCTGCTGATAAATACTGCACAACTCAGATGTAAAATGAGTGCGTTAAGGGGGAGACTGAGGAGTCCAGCCCCACATGCACTGCTTCTGCCGATAAGCACAAGTTCATTACAGGGCCTGTTCTGCTCCAACAGCAGTGGCAGATGAGTGCACTGCATAAAGACAACTAGGTTCTGCTCACATTTTCAGTTCTGCAACACGCATTAGGATTCCCCGTGCTTTCCCTTTTCCTCCCACTCCTCACACCTTTTCAAGTTCAGTTCTCTCCTCAGAGACTCTCAGCAGGACAGCACAATTCATCCTCAAAATCCTGCAATGCTGTTGTCAACTCTATTTCCTTTCAAATCTCTGCTGAACACCATGCTCCCTCTCACTCTGGAACCTGCATTTCTCCTCCTCTAGGTTTACTCAGTTTTGAGAAGTCCCTTGAGCTTCAGAGGCTTAAATTCTCCACTAACATCAATTGCTGCAACCCCACTGATACGGTCAAGCAAGTCTGACTTGCACTATGCACACCAGTGACATACCACGAAAGGTTTCACTGAAAGCTTTCCAGCCAGATCTTGCAGAGGTTGTGGGCTCTCGCATCACCAGCATAAAAAGGAAATGCAAAAGAACAATAGTTGTTAACAGCAGCTCTTAAATTATTTAGGTCAGAACACGATCTGGATGCTGATGGGCACTTGCTGACCAGTTTGTGCCTGGCTCCCAGATGACTGAAGAGCAGCGAACACCAACACAGCTCTGGGGAGCACCCACAGGGCTGGATGGGGTCACACAGTCCCATTCCATCCCTTGGATGCGGTTTTAGCTGCAGGCAAAGACGGGGGGGGGGGGGGGACTCGCCATCCAAACCAGGGGGTGCCACTGTAATGCCCCATTTCCTCTTCCATTGGAATTTTCTCTGCTGGATGTTTTCTTGACAAGTGTACTAATGCCAAGGACAGCAGCCCATGTCATTCTCACTGCAGGACAATGTCTCAGGAGGAAGGGGATGCTGCCTTCCCTTGCAGCGCTCTCCATGTGCTTTCTCTCACTCGTTGTGTAAACCAGGAGCAAGTCAGAAGAAATCTCACCAGCCACAAAGCTAATCCAAACCATCTTCTCCAAAAGAGCCGGTATAGTCTTAACACTGGATAGAGTTTACAAATAAAACAATGTTTTATTAAACTACTATTACATTTTGATTGAATAGCATTTGGACTACATAGGAGCAGACACATTCCTGAAAGTAATTGGTTTTCCACATCTGCTTTCCTTCCTAATTGGACTAATTACTTCAGTGTAGGATCATGTTCACTACTCTGCAGAAAGCAAGAAACCTTGATTTACAGTGAGAAGAGCAGCAATTAGAGAGAATTAATTCATATGGCAACATCTAAATAAATCATATTATGAGAAGACAGCAATGTAATTATTGTGACTGGTGACTCCCTTGTGAAGAAACATCATCCTTAAGCCTAAATTCAAGCAGCTCAGTTCTCCAAGGAATCCACCACAGCTTCTCCAGTTTCACAAAGCATGTACTACCAATTTTATTTTTAAGACCTAATTGAGGTGCATTGTCAAAAACAATAGGGTTTAACACTCCTCGGGCAGCTGAGAAAAACAATCAAATCCTTGACAACTCTGTGTTTGTCCTCTGAATCAAGTATGTGTGCAACAGCCATGCATAACATATGCCAGCAGCAGCTTCCAAAGGTGCATGAATTTTATGGGTGCAATACCCTCCACAATGAGCCAGGCTTTTCTTACTCTCCAAACCCATTCCACCCCATCCAGATGGGATGATTAAAAGGCTTCAGTTTAACCACAGCTGCTCCCTCACTCCCCCCCCCAGTGGGATGTGTCAGAGAATCAGAAGGGTGAAATTAAGAAAACTTGTGGGTCAAGATAAAGACAGTTTAGTAAGTAAAGCCACACATGCAAGCAATTAAAAACAAGGACTCCATTCACCCCTGCCCATGGGCAGGCAGGTGCATCTCCAGAAAAGCAGGGCTCTGTCATGCGTAACAGGGACATGGGAAGGTAAATGCCATCACTCCGAACATCCCCCCTTCCTTCTTCCCCAGCTCTATATGCTGAGCGTGATGCCATATGGCCTGGGATGTCCCTCCAGCTCCCTTGGGTCAGCTGGCCTTGCCATATCCCCTCCCAACTCCTTGTGCACCCCCAGCTTCTGCTGGCAGGGCAGTACGAGAAGCTGAGAAGCCCTTGACTTAGTATAAACACTGCTTAGCAACAACTAAAACAGTGTCATCAACACTATTCTCATCCTAAACCCAAAACGCAGCACTATACCAGCTACTAGAAAGAAAATTAACTTTATTCCAGCCAAAACCAGGACAAAGGCTTAGTGAAAGAACATGATGAACTACAGGGTTTCAGATGATCCTGCTCCACACATTGATAATTTACCTTCCTACTTACACATTAGCAGTCTGGTCCTACCTTCTCGATGGTGATGAGACATTTCTTTGCTACTTTGGCAAGTGGTGAAAGCAATTTTATCAAGGCAGAACTCCTTTCATCTGCTTGTTATTAATTCTATCTTTAATGTCATTCTTGTCAAATCACTGGGAATTTCAGTGTTCCTCTCAAATGCCTCTTGCTAAGGAAAACACTACCTTCTCATACTGTTGATGTACTTCCAGAGAAAATCCACAATGCCTTGTTTTGGGAGGAAGAGCTCATCTCCACACAAATCAGCAGAGAATTTTCTGTACAAGTCGTCCATGGCTTAGAGTTTGCCCTACCAAGAGCTAGCTCTGGGCATGGAGGCAGAATAACCCTGTACTCCACCTCAGTTAATTATTTCTCTTAATATGGTTGTTCTACTTCCAGAACGTGTGACAGACTCTCACACTCTGGATTAGTAGTGGGCATTCCCCATTTCAGAGACACTTGCTACTTTTACACATTAGACAGTCACATTGTTTTATATTGTCATATGACATGCATAAGCATGACAAGAATTACCATAATATGATGTTATACTTTCTGTCCACAACATGACACATCATAAATCCCTTGCATCCAAAAGCCAAGTTTCACA